TATGAATAATAAAATATATTTACGGTTTATTATGTGATTAGATAAATATATGAAATGCATCGATTGAAGTCTATTTAAACATTGAAATAAAATATGACTCATAATTTATGAGCATAGTAGTTGTTTAATTATGATTTTAATTATCTATTGAATTTATTTATTAGCAAATAGTGGTTTTCATGCCTTATATGTTTGGGTTTATATAAATATATTGCCATTTTACATTGCATATCTTTACAGCATTATTTACGTTAAAGTTTTATTGATTAATTAATTGTGTTTGGTAAAATATTGTGATTTTTGATTAAATTTACATTTTATTTGTTGTTGTGGTCATACAGCGTTTTTACTAAACATCTATATATATTGGGAGCTTGGCATTTGGACACAGTGTATTATTTTTTAATAATTCATTTTCTAACTTGTAGAGGAAAAGTTAGATTTTTTTATGTCAAATACAATTCATCTACATTATATTTGTAGAAAAACTTTTATGATTTCTTTTTTAAAGAAAGGTGGAAAATTATTTTACTTAAACGATTTTTGCATAAAGAAGTTATAAAAGCTTGTTTACAAAAATATTCTGGATAACTTATATACAACATAAAAATCCAACTTTTCCTTTACAAATTAAGATAAGGAATTATTAAAAATAATACACGGTGTCCAAATGACAAATCTCCCAAATTGCATAGATGTTTAGTAACAACTCTTTACTATATGTAAAATATATGACTTATAATTATAATTATAAAATGAAATAGTATTAATAAAATATAAGTAAACACCTATTAATAATTGAATTTTACATATTTTATTTTATTTTACTGTCATCTAGCTCACTAAAAGCTTATGGAGCCCAGCAAACTTAACGACTACATTGAACCAGGTTGCACGGCAGGTTACGGAAAATATAACGTTGGTCCAGCTAAATCATGTAACATGTTGCTTGTTGGTCGGAGTCAAACTGGCAAAAGCACACTCGTAAAGACCTTGCTCGATCCCCAATTAGGAACAACAAAAACGGGCTTTTCGGATACAAGAGAACCCGAATTGTACACCCTCCTTTTGACTAACAAGGAAACCCACGAGATTTGCCACCTAAACATCATTGACACTCCGGGTCTTAAGGAGGTCCGCGAGGATGGGGACAGTCGTACCGATTCCGAGTTATTGAAGCTTGCTACTAAATGCGTCCAGGAAAATATCACAACGCTCAATGTCGTGTGTTTTGTTTCCCGAGCGGGTGAGACTCATTTACAGGTAGGCTGACCAAGTGTGAAGAATTCAATATTGAATTCAACATGATTTATATAATACATGTTTAATTAATACAATGTTTAATGCTAAATATTCTATTGTTTATATATACTAAATAATATATATTAAATAATAATTGAGCGTCTGTGTGAGAAAACCGGAATTAATTTTTCAATGCAAGCTGTATTCATAACATAATTGTTGTATTAGTAGTTTGCAATGTGATATTTGATACTATAAAACATGGATTATGTTATAAACACAGTGTGCATTGAAAAATACATACCGGTTTTATGCATCCAGACGATCAATTTATTAGTGTACTGATCAATGAATATCTGATACTGTTAAGAATCTTTGTGAGCCTTAATTTTGAATGTATTCAGGATACCGAAGTATTTGAGGAAGTGAAAAAGTGTCTAGGGGACAAATACGCCCGAATATCAATGATGCTCTTAACCCATTGCGACGACTATAAAGACTCACGTCTGGATCAGTTCGAGGATACCATCAAAAGTCACCCGAAAAGCAAAAAGTATTACGATTACTGTCAGCTCGGACTCTATCGATACGGCGCTATCGATTTGACCAAGCTGGAACCGTACGACCAGGAGACAGCCTCGATGATAGTCATGTCGAAGCTAAAACGAAACGAGGTGATGCGCGAAAAGTTTTTGTCCAAGATATTGTCGTGCACCGACACGGTGCTAAAAGTGGAGGAGCTGCAAGGGGTGTATGACACTGCTCAAATTGAACGCGATAGAGTGATCGCTGAGGCTATGCAGCTTAGTCATTACATACAGGATACTGGAAGTTCCAAAAAGGTTTCATGTGTTATTCAGTAAACGTGATTTGTGTAAGATTTTGTTAATTACCTATATTAATAATAAGTAAAGTAATAAATATTCGAGTTAATTTTTAAATTTAAGGATTAACCTAGAAGTGTCTCCAGATGTTAATTACACTATCTATGTATACGAATTTTTTAAAAATTTATTACAAGTTTAAAGTAACTAAATTGGAAAATAAAATAATTTGACATAATTATTTGGCAACAATTTATATTGCATTAGTGATATTGTTAATAATAATGCAATGTTTGTAACAGTTAGAAATTATTTGTAAAAAAATATCAGATTTATTATTGGGTAAAAATAAATCAAAATTGCATTTGTAGTATTTTGTCTTAATGCAACAACATAATTATTGTTTTTGTACCTAAAATAATTAACATTACTTGTTTTATTAACTTGTATTATTCAATAAAATATAGATTAATTGCATGCTAAATTTGAATTAGATTCCAGATTATTATTTAGTACATATACTTTGACTTATTAAATCTATATTTTAAATAATAACTAAGTTTAATAGTGTTTTATATAAAATTATAATATATTCTGGTAATACCAGTCTGGTATATATAATTTAATTAAAAAATCAAAAAATTAACCACCATTTAGTAAATCCCGCACATACACCGGCATGCCGTTATAATGTGAGGCTCATAGTTATAAATGATCATATACAGTATCTTTTACCTGAATAAACGAGAAAATGCTCAATTATATTTCTTGCAATACAACAAGGTAACCGTATATTGTTTTAAGTAAAATATTTTGTCAAAAATTAAATTCAAATTTATAACAAAACAAGTGGGTTGCACTGTATACTAGGAAACTACAGTATGAGTCTTTTTTAGTATATCTCTGTTGATATAATAAAAAGTACTTTTCATAAAATCATTAATATTTTAATCTTCTGAGTAATACCTATGGAAAAGCTTACAGAAACAAAAAATAGTATGAATTTCAAAATGTACTTTACGTATTATCAGGCCTCATATTAATTTATATCAACATTTATTATAAAAGTTTTCAATGTACTTTTATTATATAATACATATTTAAATACATTTCACTGTATTTAAATTTATAAATAAAAGTTTTTAATGTAATATTAAAAATAAAAATATTAATATAATATAAATAATTGTATTACTAGTAATACATAAATGCATATATTTAAACAGTAATAAAATAATTTTAAATTTATAGATTTTTATCTTAAAAAATATTACTCAACATTTATTATATTTTTCTAGTTCAATAAATTTTACATAAGATATAATCCTTTTCGGAAAATATTTAAAGTAATAAGTAAAATGCCCGGGATTCTGCAAGTGTTAACTCAGTTGGAAATATGTTATTTATATATTGTATTAATGGCACATTATATTATGTATCATATATTTTTTCATTAAAAAAATATTTTAATATACAAAAATGATAATCTGATCAAGTAAGTCATTAATATTTATTATTAATATTGTATAACATTGGTTATTTTATATGCATTGTTTACGTGTATAATTTCAAATCACAAAATGTGGTGAAAATTATGTAAATTATATCTAGATGGGAAAATGATATTTAAATAAAAATAGACACCGATAATAATATTGTATAAATGTAAATATTTCAACAATAATAAATTAATAATTTATAAATTTTTATATGAAACATAAATATTGTCCATCATACTGGGTCAATGAAAACTTATAATCATTGAAATATACTGCGGAAACACATATAACACTCACCCATACGTGAGCCCAATGTGATGCCGACACACAATGAGTTCGCCGTTTACTTCACCCGCAAACTGAACCCTTTGTTCATTCAAACCAAACCACAGTTTCTTAACTCCGCTGTCAAACGGACGGACACATAGACCCAGTAATGGTTGTCCCGTCCCTTCGTGTCTATCTTTAAGGGCTTTGGTGTTGACATTATTTTCATGTCTGTCGAAAGCAACCCCTCTCAATGAAATATTAAGAAATATTAAAAACATCTCATATTATATGAACTGATAGTGCGATCACTGGTTATAATTCATGAAAACAAAAACCTTATAACATATCGTAAGGAACGGCATATTTCTCACGAAAAATCTCATCCGCGCCAATGCATACCAACAACACGGGTGTCCATATCAAACACCGCACACCCGGAAAAGCCGGGGTATGTGGCACTGGTATGTATAATAAGGCGATTACTAGGATCATGTATAACATCGAAAGGCCCATAATGGCCGCGACTTATAGACCCGACCTCCCGGTCCAAACAATTTACGACACCATCGCTTACGGAGTACTGAATTTTAGGGCTGCCGACAGTCACCAAGGGTTGGCCTACTTTCATACCTGTATCCGTGAATGTGGTCTTCATATTGCGCGGGAGGTCTCTAAACAGTCTAATGAGCGCGCAGTCTATCTCGGGCTCCATATAAGCGACATATCCCTCGTATTTAAACGAATCTCCTTGTGATAGCTTAAAAACACCCTGGTCACATAGAAAACGTCTTGTGGTTACCGAACTTGATATATCAGCCTCTATAGTGTGAGCGCAGGTTACGATCCCAACACCAGCTAAGTGTACATCAAACTCATCCGGTTTTGTGGATTTATAGGCCAATACGTATACTATACTAAATCGGGCCCTACTTTGGAATCACCTGTGGTTTCGGAAGTATCTTTCAAGTGAGCCAATCGTAGCCCAAACCCACGGCTCATATCTATGTTTGCAATCAATTGTTTGCTCAGTTTTGTGTGCCTTTTGTGCCAATAATTCACACCAATTGTCGCACTAATGCTTATCATTAGAGGTCTGTTGCTAATAGTTTGTCTCAAAAATCCAATCATTACTTCAGAATATACCGTATTTTGATTAAAAGAAAGAAATAATTGTGTATAAAATTAAGGTAATAAGGTTTATTATTAAATAAACAGTAATAGTATTACAGTATCAGATAATTTATCAATTTGATAAATCTTTTTATTAAAATAACATTTGAATTTCACAGTTAAACCTATTGCTGAACGCGACATTAATATTAAAAGTATTAATAAATTTTTAGTTTATATTATTCCCATTAACTCAATACTTATCTGTTTTAGTCTACATAAATCGTATAGAAATAAAATCATATTTATATAATAAAAGCAGATTTAGCCTGAGTTTTGACTTTAATGGGAAATGTTATGTCAATATCATTCTCGCCCTCAACATCCGGATTGAAACGACGGACAGTTAGCTCAATATCATCGTCGGTATCAATCATTTCAATGAAGTCTTCGACCGAATTGACTAAGTCCATTCACTTCAGTGATCACACCATTCCTCTTGAGTTGGTTTTCACTGAAATGGCAAATGAATTGTAAGCTAATAGTAAGCCAATACTAAGATTTTTAATTATAATCACAAATCAAAACCCATTAGCCCATCGTTTATTGAGATAATATAGTTGAACATTATTAATGACACCTACCCCTCACTCATTTGATTACCCAGCACCTGTTCCCACACAATAAGTCCACCCAAATATCTATACGCAAACTCACGCTCTCTATCAGTACTACCAAACCGGACGGCCTTTATTTCACTATAGAAATCATAGACCCATAGACCCAGAGATCGTTCAGACGTCCAGATGTGTCGCTCTTCAATCATTTTCCTCTGATTTTCGTCCGGATTATCGAAAGCAATACCTCTTTCAAGGAATTCTTGAGAAATGATAAAAACATCTCATATTAGATAAACTGATAGTGCGATCACTGGTTATAAACAATGAAAAATACAAACCTTTTATCATATGGTTGTAAGGAATAGCAAATTCTTCACGAAATCTTAGATCTCCACCCGCATGCATGCCAACTACCTGTCCAGTCATATCAAAAAGCACACTCCCCGAAAAGCCCGGATATGAGGGACTGGTATGCGAAATATACCGATTACTTGGATCCTGTACACTATCAAAAGGCTCATAAAAGCCTAAACTCATGGACCGAAGTTCCTGTTCCAGACTTTGGACCAAACCATCGCTTATACAGTAATTAATCTCATGACAGCCCACAGCTACAACTGTTGGCCTACTTTAAGATCAGTATCTGAGAATGTGGTCGACATCCAGTTGGTCTTGCCTTTAGTAACACGTATGGGCGCGCAGTCAATCTCGGGCTCCATATAAGCTACATATCCCTCGTATTGCAACCACGAACTCACCGGTAGTCTCATAACACGACTCCCAAACACCCAGTCCTCGTCAAACGACTGTATGGTTACAGGGGTCGACATATCAGCTGGTATTACGTGAGCGCAGGCCACTATATATCCCGGTTTGTTGGTTACGATGCCCATACCCTTTCCGTATGTGTGGAGTTTATATCAGGATGAATGGACTCATACCCAAATATGTATACAATGCTATTCTGGGCCTCATTATAGACATCACCGATCGCTTCGTCGATGTCTTTCATGTGAGCCATTCGTAGCCCAAACTCACGGCGAGTATCGATGTTTGCCATCAATTGTTTGCTCAGTTTTGTGTGTCTTTTGTGCCAATAATTCGCACCAATTGTCGCACTAATGGTTTGTCTCAATAGCCGATACATCACTTTAGAAAGTATTTAGTTTTTAATGACAATTAAACTGATTATTTGTTTTCCAAATATATTGAGTCGATTTTGAAATTTGATATTATCTTTATATTAGCGCGTAATAATTATTGAAAATTGTTACTGTAATGTTTTTTGATTAATCTAGTTTATAAATAAATGATAATCATATACTGTAGACTCTATAATAACGTTCATACTAACTTTTAACATACATACAAAATATTTTGAAAATTGTTAACAATTACAAAATTTTGAATCTATTGTTGAAGATTGATTCCCTATTTGCACCAATGTAAATGCGGGTTTCTATAGCATTGCTTGCAATCCTTTTTTATGAATAAAACAAAAACATCTTTTCATGAATTTTAATATATAGGAAGACATAAA